GTGGTGATGCCGTCTAGAGGTGAGTCAATAGCCTAAAAATAGTGATAAATTCTTATTCCACTTCAGGGCAGCGGTCATTGGCTTCTTGTCTAGGCGGCGGCGACGTAGATGGGTACGTTCCTCGTCATCTGGATCTGTATAACGGGGCTGAAATACCAACCTTTCCAGGGATTTATTCTCGGTCATTTGCCATCAGCCACTACTCCCAACATCCCTCGAACAGCCAATGAAATACGATTCTGCAGGCACTTTGACTTTGGAGAAGGACAGTACCGTTTTGGACATCTGTAACTTCATTGTCGAGTACATAAACTCAGACCTTCTCGTATGCGCACCACATCTCGAGTAGGTTTAACGCTCAACTACATCCCTATGTAGGGGCTGTTGTCAGACAGACTGTTAACCATAGCAGGTGACCTTTGAATTATTCATGTTTTTGTGGCAACATGCTGACCGAGGATTGTAGATCAATCAATTGTATGACTGAGATCATTCATCGCTAAATGTTACTTAATATCTAACAGGAGGGCATCTATGACCAAGCTTGTCAAACGCTAGCTCAACTTTGCTCTCAGGTGAGTGTCTTCTAACATTTTCTAGCGTTGCTATTAAGAAACGAAATATAGGCTGTTGACTACCCAAAACAAGGCATACCAGTTTCTTTGGAGGATAATGCACTTCCGAGGACCCTGATTCGATGCAAACCTGATTGGCATGCTGCTGAAGTGGTTTCACCCCGCAAAACTGATTACTACGAGTCTGATAGAGCGCTCGGACATTTATTCCGCGCAATCTATTTGGACGATCCTCTCGAACTCGCAGGCGATCAAGATCAACCCACTCAGGTCAGAGTACCGCATTGCAAAAATCCACACGCCGATCCTATCACGCAAGCTTTACTCCGCAAGATGGTCGACAAGTTAGGCGACATGGCATTTATCGCTTCTCCACCCAACGCAATCAAGAAAATCTTCAAGAGATATCAAGACGAACTGCGATATATCTGTGCTACGCATACCCTCTCCAATGCCCCAGGGTCAATTTTACTTGAAGAGGAGGCTGTTATTGGGACTATCCTCGCCAAATGCTCCCAAAAAAGATGGCGATCTGACCGCATCTATCGAATGCGCCTTCATGTGCAGACACTGGTCACAGATATCCAACGGGAGTTTTTGAAAGACTTCTCCTCGACATCTTATCTAGACATTATCCGAGGGCTTGAGGTGGCGTGGATGGCTTGGAATTACAGTGTCTTCAGAAGAGATAGTGATGTGCAGGTTGGATTTGGAGCGTACAGCTTTGGGCTGATTGCATTAAATTCAATCTTCACCTGTTTGAACCTATTGGAGAAAGCCGAGTCTTAGTTTACTTAACTGTTACATGTAAAGCTTTTTATTTATGACAATTTAATTCACAGAGTGACAACGCGATCGTCACGCTCACATGATAAATGCATGTCACTAGCTCTGCCAGGATCAGGGGCCTTCCAACTTCTCTCCACCATGGGCAGTTCACCAACGTCGCCTCTGGCGCCAAACGGTGGCAACACGCCCGTCAGTCGCTCAGCTCTTCAGAAAACCACAGAACAGGATCCCATTGACCTCTTTGAAAACGGAGCTGACGAGACAAAGGCACTCACAGGCAAAATTGGAATGGTTTGGAAGGACAATGACCAAGTCGAAGCTCTGGTTTCCATTCCACGGCCACTACACGAAAAGACGAGAGATAATCATGTGTTCTCTCTAATCATCAAACTCGAGCCTGCCTGCATGGTCGCTGTCAACGTGCAACCCAACGACGAATTTCGACTATCTCTTCAAGGTAGTGTTCGCAAAATCAAGGCGAATTCTCGGAAACAGTCTACACTTTCGATGTGTCTGCTCTTTACCAAAGGCATTCATTTGGAATGGGGGCGCACAGGGGGAGACTGGAAAACATTGAACACTTGGATTAGTACGTGCTGCCTTCTCTCGTTCATATGACTGAGGCCTTCATCCACATTCATTCAGTCAACCACGAATTGAAAGAAGATAGAGACTCCTGGTACATGTCGCCTAGGAAGTCTGGAGAGCACAAACACCTTGTCCCTGCCAAACGTCGTAATGTTGAAGAGGATACCACCAGTGAGGCGAACGACGCCATGTTGGTTGACGGGCTTGCACAAGAGACGAAGAAACCTTCCAAAACCGAGATGAAGAAACGGAGGAGAATGGAAGAAAAATTACGCAAAGCCCCGAAGGAAGTTACACATACATCCGAACCTTTGACAAAGCTAGCTGTAGTGGACACCTCTCTTCGCCCCTCGACAGACTCAACTTTAGCTGAGTCCTACACTGAGGTTCACAAAGTCGCGGATGTAACTCATGCAGAGCAGTGGCAGTCGGTAAGCAGTCGTATGCACTTCCGAATGGCTCCTGATTCAACGAGTTAAGAGGAGCACGAAAGCCATTCTGCAAGTCGAAACGCTGCCCTTCCAAACGATATTTAACTTGATAGGCATCGTTACATCATGCTCGACTCCCAAGACGACAGTGAAAGGAGGTAATAGAGTCCATGAAACCGTAGTCACAACACTTACGGCTTTGTAGAATGGTCCATCAGTATGGATATCATTGATCCCAGCAGATACCATCAAAACCTGAAGATAAACTGCTTCACTCCCCGTCACGAAGGATGGCTTCCATGTCCTCAGACCGGCGATGTCATAATCTTGAGAAATGTCAAGGTGAGTACGACCATTCAACCGTCAACCACTCTGACAGCCTACGCAGAAACAACCTTTCAATGGAGCGTTCAATTGTGTAGGCTACGGTAATAGACTGCAATGGGCTATTTTCACTCCTCCAGGAAAAATCCACTATGGTGGTCCCAACAATACACCTCAAAGTGAAGGTTTGGGGCGAGATGGAGAAGGCTTCCCCTTTTCTCCTTTTTATAAGCCGACAGCAGAAGACATACTGTGTTGTACTGGACTTTCGGATTGGTGGAGAGGATACGAGCAGGCGAACACACTTCAGAGTCAAGTCAACACCACTTCTACAAGTGTACAGCGCAGGAATCCGGTTTCCAGAGTCCACCGGTTAATCAAGGACGCAAACCCTGATCAGCCCCCAGATGGGTACTTCGATTGCACTGTGGAGGTTTGCTCGTTTCATTTCAACCCAATGATTGAGCTTACAATCACTATCAGGTTGTCAAAGGATTCTCTAGTAACCGTGTTTATTCCCTTTATGTTACCGATTACACCCAAAACGAGTTCACTCCCTTAGTTCAAAACCAATGGTGTCCTGCAACTCTTTCAGACCAGCTATTACTGGTGGAAATGTGGGACTCAGCAGCGGGAGTAGGTCCCACTATGAAGCCTGGACAGATTTACTCTATCAAGAATATCAGAATGAAGAGGAGTCAGCATGGGCATTTGGAAAGCAAGCTGACCCAAGCGAGCGGCATCACACTTCTCAGTAAAGACGAAGTTGCCTTCAACGAAAATGTCAAAGATCTATTGGAGTTCGTTCGTTCTTGTGTATTGATGGTTTCGCTGAAACTGACTGCCCTGTTCAACTTTAGGCGCAAAAAAGCTTGGGAGATCAAACAGAGTAGCAAAGAATCTCAAATAGAACAGAAGGTCATAGAGGATGTGGAAGAGGATACATTTTTCCACTGTACCGTCGAGGTATGAGCATTTTCTAGACGATTAAACGTATATTTACATGAGCATACAGATGCTTCAACCAGTAAAAAGGCCGCGAGGCGAACTTCCTCACATATACGTCACCGACTATACACCTCATCAGTTGCTCAAACCGCTCGTTGTTGACGAACCTTGGGCACGCGGTCTGAAGGGCTATATCGTAAAGATCACTCTGGATAGCGAGCAACAAGAAATGGCGGAAGCCCTAGAAGCCGGTTCCTTCTACTGCATAAGGAAGCTGCGATTGAAGAAGAGTCCATTGGATGAATATATGAAAGGGAACTTGGGCGGAAACGAGAAGAAGCTAGTGAAACTCAATCCTGAAAAAGCAGGTAATCAGCATCTCAATGCTTTACTTCGGTGCGTTCCTCATCCGTGTACTGGAACCGGTATCCTCACTACATTGTAGTCGCAAAGAATTTTGGGAAAACCACCACCGAAGCCAAGAGCCGGCACCTCGTGTTATTGACAAAGAAGAACCCATTTCACCTTCGATAATATCGTCGATTCACAATGCCTCTCTTGAGCATGCATCAAAGAGTTGTTCTAGTGGTATGAAAATCAAAGATTTTCTACCCGCAAGAGAAGAGCCAATGGGGTTGGCTGTTCACGCCAAGGTTGTCAGTTACAATCCCATGGAGCTAAGAGACGCCGTCGTCCGAGTGTGTTTCAAATGTAAAATTAGGTTAGCTGGCTGATCTATTCCTGCATCGTCCGTTCTAAATCTCTTCGACAGATTGCCCCCGATCCAACTTGCGTGCGCTGCATGTGCCGACATGGATCACGAGTACGTACGTGTCAAGCTTATTCTTAGCCTCGTTCTTGAAGATGAGGACGGCGAGCAAATCTTGATCACTTTAGACGACTCGGTATTTCATTTCATCGTTGACAGCAATAACCTCTGCTGACGACCAGGTAGTGCGGCGTTTGGTCCAATCTCAATTTGAGCAATTCTCCCGACGAAACTATACTAGCGAAGTATTGGGAGAAAATAAGGCCCTGCTTGGGAAATCTGCCTGAGGTTCATAAAGCGTATAAGCAGGGAAGGACACTACCAAAAGATTGTCCTTTCTACACTTTCAAGCTCGAGAGTTGGGCTGCACCGGGCGGGAACCGAGGTTACAAATTACTTGACTACATACTATAACCTACTACTTTTATGATTATACTCTACATCTGACAATGGATTGCCAACCGTTATGAACGATGTCAGTCATGTTCATGTATTCGGTGTGCTTTTCGGAGGAAATTTGACCACCTCCATTAGTCCACATAGAACGAAATTCTAAAAGAATGCACAAAAAAGAACCGACACCAGCAGGATTTGAACCTGCGCCCTCAAAGAGGAACAGATACTTTCATTCGAATCTGTCGCCGTAACCACTTGGCTATAGTGCCTTGGAGAGTCATGACACATTAATACTACAGATCGGCATGGTGTTATTTCCAACTGGCTAAGCGAAAAACACGACGTTGATAAAATGTCTTTTTCATCGAGCAGTGCTGCTCGAAAATCTATGTGACAGAAATAATATTTCGACGTATATCTATTTATATGGGATACCTGCAAAGTTCTGTCAGTATCAGCACTTCGATACGGGCGAAAACACACCGTTTTGCAGCTGTTAGCGCAAGAAAAGACATCAGTAAACTGGTTTTCACCACAGTTTCGATACACATACTCGCTGAAACTCATCATAAGCCGTGCTTCGAACATTTTCGTGAGCGTTACGGATGATTCCCATCATGTAATCAGCAGCTTGACGTTCATTCAAGTGCAACGCGAATCGATCCCTCAGCCTCCGGATGGTGGGCTCGCCTTTGAAAGAAGGAAGACCAGTATCCAGCATGAGTTGAACGGTGTCAACTATTTGATCTGCATACGGCCGAATTGAAAGGAAGCCTTTCACAGTCAAACTTTGGAATAACTGATAGCCTTGCGAATATCGGCCACCCATTAAGATTACCATTTCGTGGTTCAGTTTGAACGAGTTAGGTTCGAATTTGACACCCTATCAGTAAGATCAAAAAGTGGACTTAGGTGATTCAGCAGCGACGTACTCCTGGCCGTAGATATCCCTGGAAAGATTAACTAAGAATTAAATTGAGAAAAAAAAAACACTCATCTATGTCGAAAAGGAAACCGAAGTCTATTGGTGTCATAATGAATATTGTTCTGTTCACTAGTGGATGCACTTGCCAATATGAACGATGTGGCCATCTCCGTCTATCATAATATTACCATTATGCCGGTCCTTGATTTGAAGAATGTAACAAGCAAGCGAATAAGCCGCCATTGATTGTATAAAGTTGAGTTTCGCTTTCTGAAAGCCGATCGTATCCTGCCCTCCATACTTGGCAATGAAAAAGTCTTGCAGGTCGTTAACTTTTGCTCGACCCATTTCATCCCTGGAGGTAGCGTTCGGGACGACATCGATGACTCCACACTGGTCAAGTCAGTAATCAAGATGTACAAGAGTCAAATAAACGTACACCTGGTGCTGTAGCTGTGACTCGGTATGGGAATAGATACAGCGGTAAACCGATGTCAGTGAAGATGTTCTTGAACATAGCAATCACTTGTAAGGCCAAAACATCTTGACGGCAGTCGTCTCCGACCTTGAATATGGCTTGTTGCCAGACGTCATACTCGGTGCGAACTTCAATGCCTTCACCATTCCCATCAACTAGGGAGTCCGGGTCAGCGTTGACTTCGATCTTCTCTTTTCGTACTTTGAAAGTTGCCATGAATGGTGCCTAATAACGCAACGAATCAGCAGGTCACCACCTTGACCAAAGATTTTCTCACCTTGGCATGGCTCTGCAACGGCCTACCAGACTTTTTATCAATGTCAACAACCTTCCCATCTGGGTTGCTTGGTAAATAGACGCCAACGTCCACAACAATCTTTGCCATTTCTTCGTCGATTTTGGCCTGTTTTCGGGTTACTTGTGGGAATAAAATTATAGTAAATAAAACGCGTCTACCTTTTTTTCTGGTTTTGTTTTCTTGATGTAGGGCTTCAATTTGCCAGATATGGAAGTAACCTCATTGAAGAAGGAAAACTCGCGGTCATAGAAAGCCCTTGATTCTCCAGAGAGTGATTGCACGACCTTGTCTGTCATCAAGTCAAGAACTGGCTTCATTGAATCCTCCTGAAAATTCGTGAGTTTAGATCAAGGTTGAGCTTGAAACACCTCACGATTTCTGCAGCATCGTCCTTGTAGCAATTAGCTTTCATATTCCAGATAATCTGGTGGCAGAATAGCTGGGAAATTTTAGCAGTTTCAAAAATGAAACGAGCGACGTAACCTGTTTGAAAAAAAATATTAATCTTGAGTAAGGGCAGAGAACAATAAAATAACCAAGGTCGTCATATCGGAGGGCTTGCACCACTTGAGGAATGAAGAAAAATGTTAATTCCACCGGGTGTTGGGCTAATACTCGATGAGCATATTGCAGAACCAAGGGATCACTGTTAAAGCGCCGTTCAAAGTATGTATTGGCGATTACCGGAGGCACGGGCGCCCACAATATCAAATGCTGCAAACATTAGTGTTATGGTCTCTTACAGTGGGATATATCGCACTTTAAGATCTCGACGAACGTTGGAGTCAAGGCGATCTCCAAGAAGGAAAGAGAGAGCTGCGGAGACGTCCAACGCATCCTTCGTATTTGACCGAACTAGTTTCGCAACTGCATATCGTACAGCGGGGTTTTTGAAGCGTTCTGTGAGATAAACTGCGATGGCTGGGTCAAGGTTCCAAGTAGTACGCGTAATTGAAGCCCATGAAGTCTGACCATACTTCAATAATGTATTCCCTTTAAGATGGCATAAACTTACATCGACCAGTGAACGCTCTGTACTCCCAACCAAATCAGGGCTCTTTTTAGTGTCGTTGGTTGCATTGCTCCACACAGATAACCGATATATCTCGTTTTCCGTAAGGAGTCGCAAGGGGAGATTCAAATTTCGCATTCTGTCGGCATAATCTGGAGGGAATTATATGAGTAAGATCTTATGGTTAGTCAAGGGAAAGAACGAAAGGCTAACAAGCTGAAGTAACGCGCACAGGGGACAAGCTCGATATGGACGGCGGTCCTCGTACAGAATCCGATTGCAAAACAGAAAGGAACTCCGATAAGATCTTAATATCGAGGTCTACTTGGACTGCATTCGCCCCATATGACCATCTGAAAATACAGGTTACAGAGGTAGTAACAATCAAAAGAGCACGCACTGTGGCCGAACGGCAAACCACGAAAAGGCAGTTTTGTATAAAGATTCTCGAAGTACATTTTCACAATATGCATCAAGGTGAGAACTTTTGAGAGTCTCGAATCCGAAAAGTAGAAATGAAAATCTGGCTTCTCGGGCTAGGGCGTGTGTGCTACATTTGATGGTCAGCAAGAAGGCGACTATCATATCGAGAAAATACCTGAAGGTCTCGAAAGCCCGACAAGATCGCAGGACAAGATGCTGTATGATAAACATGACACCTGGTCGATGATATCTTGCTGCCTGCAAACGGCTCAATAACATCTGTACAATAAGCGCATGGGATGTTAAAAGACGCCTTGCTTGTGTTAGCCCTCGGTCGATTGTCTCTTTGTTAGTTGGGCTGTAATCAATTGGACAGAAGAACGGATCTTCGTAGCTAGGTGGAATACAGAGTCAATGAGTATCTGCACTTTCAGGGAGATTGAGATCTCACTTGAGAGATTTTGAAAAGAGTCCCATATGATTTTTTATAGTATCAGACCAGGCGGAAAGGATTTCGCTCATCAACGCGACTTCAATTTCCGATCGTTCAGCTATAACCCAGCTCCAGACATCGATACCCGACGCCAGTGCAGATGGGCTGGCAACTCCAAAAGGAAGAGTAACAAGGAAATGAAGTAAAGCATGGTCGATCTGTTGTCAAAATCAGGAGAGAGGGGGGAATAATGTAAGAAAAAAAGACACACCTTTTCCATTGCAATTAAGGTGGCTGCAGTTCGGAAAAGCAACCTCCTAAGGTCGTGTACAGTCAATTTACTATTTTTCCCTCGGATTTCGTCCAGTGTATTTTGCATTTTCCCCCGTAGGGCATCAATTTCAGTCGAAGGTGCAGCTTCAGGTGGTAAAGTTGCAAGTTTGTCCACGCCTATAACTCAATTATTGGCAAAAAAATTAGAAAGATAATAGGTAAGCCCTTACTTTCTCGATTTGCTAACCGTATCCCTGCAGCCTCACCAGCAAAATATCCCTTGATGGCAATCTGGCTAGAAAGAGACTTGGCTGCATCGATCTTCCACTGAGACAAAGAGGATAGAGACGCTGTTGAAAGTACGTGAGATTAAGAAGGGCCAACACAAATCTGAACATACCAAGCTGCCTGTGAACTGGTCCGATCGCTTTCCCAAACTGCTCTGCCATTGTTGCGCCAAGCTCTGCTGAGTTGATTCCTGAGAGGCTCTGATTGATAGCAAGATATTTCTAAATGGATTTGTTCAACACCTTCCTAGGTTGATTAATTCAGTCTGCTTACCTGTAAGGTCGACTGCAGTTCCATTGGGGCGCGTGCCAGGGCCAATTCGAACCAATTATTGGCGTTCCGTTTCAACTGCGCTAGAATATCATTTCGAACTTGGTAGCTATCGGTTACTTGAAGGGTGATACCACTCCTCTCAGAGTGAAATTCATAGATAGGATTGCACTAGATTAGTTGTTTGAGCATCACTTGGGACAACGGGAAGTTAGGTGTACATACCTCATCAATGAATTCGTTCTCGCAAGCGCGTTGGAGTAAGGTTAAGACCTCTAGGATAGCGAACACTAAGACTGGATCGCACATTAGGGATGGAAAGGAAGTGATGAGGCGATTTAAATATTTAGAAGCAATATCTCGGGCCTTGGTGATGCGATGTGTGGATAAGACGACCAGTGCATGAAGCTCGGAGGACAGATGTTTGGGAAGTGCTTGCTGCGATGCTTTCAAGTTGAGGTCTGTGATGGCGTCCCGGATGACCTAGGTGCGATTATTATCTTGCAATCATGTTTGATGATCATCCATACCTTCTCGGCAACGGATTCCATACATCCGCTGAGGCCAGGATGCTCATTGAGACTCTCGTTTATGAAGTAGGAAACCAGGGAAGAGGGATAGCCAGCTGCGGAACGCATGCTTTCAACATCATGCAGAGTGTTGATAAAGATGACTTGGCCGGAAGACAGATATCGAATGTCACTTGCCCTATAAGAGATGTATTTAGTTAATGCATTTCTATGTTTTGAAATGACCTATATGTGATGGTGTCAGGTCTTGCGCCTGCTTGAGCATCACGAAATCATACCGTATTGGCGTATTCTTGGCGTATGACAGAGTTATATTCAACATCACTGGCTACAGCATCT